CGGATAACTTTTATATTAGATAACCAGGAGAAAGTCTTGCAGAAAACGGCTCAAACGATAACTGATTTAGAAACCAGAAAAGCTGCAAATTTCGTAGCGGGATGTCTCCCTTTAGGCATGCAAATAAAATATATGGCTTGCCCTAACCATCGGGATCGACCACTTATAATAACGGCACCAGATTTTCAATCCGAGTATTACGACGGAAAAATAACTCCGAGATTCGTGGATAATACTTGGGAATTTGCTTGAGCACATTCATTAACCAGTTCCAAGTTTGAACATGGTGCACAACGGCGCACTTATCTCTTATTATATTAATTATTTACACTTATTTTATTATTTCAGCCCCTTTCCAGATAGAATGTGGCAGATATGATCACGTGACAGAGCAACAATACTATTCATGACGTGAAATAAGGAGTGATCTATGATAATTAACAACTAATTAGTTCGACTCCGGTGACAGGTGTCGGTTAGAATATAGCAGATAACTTTAAAATGAGAAGGGAGACTTTTGATTTCCTACAATCAGGTAGTACTGTAGTGACAGCTTACAGTTCTTATATATAACTATACAGTATACATTTCATATACCACTGTAGTATTGATCGTGTGATTTCACTGATTATGTGTTGTATTTAAATTAACTTGATCTCGGAATGGCTTTTTGATAATTGGTTTTTGATAACTGTTTCAAAAAATATACTTGGTTTTTCTTGACTTTGCAGCTTGTTAAATAATGAATGCTTTCTTTTTTAGGTGCACATTTTAACAATAGTCCAATACACGACTCACAACTTAGAAAACACATCAATAAATTATTTAAAGATGAAGCTGTTGGTGGTCCTCTCCGCTATTTTGCTCTGTGTGATTGCTACGGATTCTATCTCAGAGGAATCCGACAGGTACAGATATAATGCAAACCAATATAATGGTTATATTCATATCCGTCATCTGATTTGTCAATTTACTACTGAGGCGGCTTAATAAAACTAGCTAAATATTATGACTTGGTGCGATAAAGTCACGTGACACGACGTGACGTCACACCACCTGACAGAAAGTTGCTGATAACAACTAACCAGTAACCACAGTAACCATAGTAACCACACATAGTAACCATAGTCACCACACATAGTAACCATAGTAACCACACATAGTAACCACAGTAACCACACATAGTAACCATATGCATAGTAACCACACATAGTAACTATAGTAACCACACAGAGTATACGGCTACCCAGATGAAGCTACATTAGCTGAAGCTGATTCTATTGTTAACAATGAGGTTGCCTTCGAAATGAATACTGAGCCTATTAACATTGGTAAGTGTGTTATGTTATAATAAGATTGAAATAACCAACAAATTGATATATCGACTGTTTAGACTCTACTGATGAATAATATAGCTTGAAACTAGCTGGAGGGGGTAGTCCCCCAGCATAGCAAACCTGTGTTTCATATTTAAAATATTATAAGTTAAAAATAGTTGAATAACTCAGTTTAGCGGTTTCTGAATTACAACCTCCTTCAGAAGCGAGGACTACAGTGGGTGATGAACTAGTTGACCACGAAGATATTGATGAAATATCAGTCGCTGGAATGGGCAGGAAGTAAACAGAGATAATGAACACTAGCGATAACACGTGACATGTGACACATGACACGTGACACGTGATACGTGACACGTGACACATGACACGTGACACGTGACACATGACATGATAAAGAGATTATAGAGAATGACTGAAAGGTCTATTGTAGGGCCGAAATAAGGGCGGGCCTTTATTAATGCCAATTTTAAATGTATTCCTCGTCCATTTGATTATTTTTGAATTCAAATCGAATTTTGTCAACAAATTGCTGATCTTTCATTTTAATCTTTATTTCGCAGTAGGAATTTAATTTCCAACGATTACTAAATAACCCGCTTAATCCGAAAATTCTGATTTTGCCGCAGACTGCCGTGGCAAAATTCATAAACTCAAGCCTAACAATCTCACATTGACATAATTTATCTATACTTTATCACTTAACTAGCACAAATATAAAAGAACGAACCATCCTATTATTTACTATTTAGTATTTACTATTTTGCTACTTACTTGCTGACGGAGGGGCTGCTTCTACACCTACAGTAACCTGTAATGGAGCTTCTGTTTTTGCAGCTGTGCCCGGCATTGTCGCTCCCTGTGGGGTATATCATATTAGATATGACATATACAATGTAATTGTAATTTATAAGTTATATCTTGTGGATGTAAAGTATAATTTCGTTCCAAATCATTGGGAATTGCTTTCTCTTCACAGTTCCCGTTACAGCTAATACATTCTTTATTTTCATTAGAATCTTTGTTCAGTGCTGTATACTACTATACTACAAGGCTGTAATCTGTCCCATGGTAGCTGTCTGGTAATTAGTTACTAACCAGGTAACTGGTAATTACTTAGTAATCTGATAACTGGCTACTCATCAGGTTACTAATTTAGTAATCAGGCTGGTAACTTACTTCCGGCATGGGAATTGAAATCTTGTAGACTTTACGTTCTACAGGCTCTATTTTAGCGGGTGTGAATGTTATCTCCATTATCTCTAACAGTTGAGCTTATAGCCTAACAGATAGTCTGTTACAAAACTATATGGTGATAATTTACAAACTACACAAGAGAGAGTTATTTAAACTATGTTAATGATTTTAAAGTATGTAACAACTAACAGCCATGAGAAGAAACATAATAGTAAAATAGCTGATATTAACTACAAGGGGGAATTTAAATTAACACCCAATTATAGTGATCGGTCAATAATTATGTTGTACGTGCGATAGTATTATCATGATATTAGTACAGGTTGTACTACGCAACAAAACTGTTGAAAGTGACGAATATATAATATATATGTCCACATACTGTACATTATTAAATTAAATTTGGTGTAATTCAGCCAATTTCAGGAGGGGGGTCATAAGTATTTGAGAATTTTTGAATCTTAGAATTTGACCATTTTCGCCGGGAATACTCAAAAATTATTTTTGAATCTGAGAAATTCAGCATGGATTTCTCATTTTCTCAAAAATTGTCCGCTCAAAAATAGTGATATACCAAATAATTTTTCATATCAGTGCAATGTGGTCCAATTGATGGTCCAAAATACTCAAAATCAATTTCTGAGAATGAGATTTTCGCCTCTCCTGGAAACTTTTCTCAAAAATACTCAAAAATAATTTTTGAGAATGAGAATTTAGCCCTTTCGTCGGGACTCTAAATAATACTCATAACCCCCCCCCCCCCCCCCCCCCAAGTTGTAAATTATACCTCTGGCCCCCCCCCCCCCCCCTTCAGAGGTATATTTTACAACTTGACAACATTTTTGCGATGACTATCCCGTAAATGCTCCATAATTCAACAATCAATTCAATGTCACATGATATGTATGAAATAAAAACATCTAAAAAATAAACTTAAAACCTAGCAGATGACGGCTCACAGCAGTAACACAAGATAACAGTAAGTAATAAGAAGCTACAAAGGATTACTAGTGTGACATATTACAAGTGTGACATATTACAAGTGTGACACGTAACGAGCCCTTAAAAGTTCCCACATTGGATCCAGCTCTTGCCTCATCAGCCACACCCCCGCAAAAAGAGCAGGAGTCATCCTCTCTTAGTGAATATATTCACCAGAACTACGTAATTCATGCATGCCACAGTTTGAATATTTGATCCTCGCCAGTAGTATCCTAGCATTCCAAGCATTCCCGAAAAACTCCGTTTGTATTTGCTGAGGATGCCATGATGCAAGGGAGAAATCCTAGAAGTTCAGTAGCTACTGATAGTATGTGACTGACAAGATGCGGTGTAATATAGGAAATGCGGTGGAAGATGGGGGAATTCTCAGCAGGCTCGGTAATACATCTTGGTAATAACTTAACAGACAAGCTTGAAGGAATTTGTGCTCATATTTGAAAGAGGGACGCCACTCTATTTAGTATATGATCGCCATTCTTCTTCCAATAATTCCACGAAATCATTACAAACGCTAATATTTCAAATCTCTCTGATCCTCGTAAATCATTAGAGTATTATAGGTATACACTATCACAAGAAATTTAGATACTGGCAGAACTTAAGACAAATAGGTTTTAATTATAATGCTGTGGTAATGAAAATAAACTATTAAAATCATTAACAAGAACGGTCCGAAAACATAGTTTATTATTTACATTGGCTGTATAGTAGTAGGGTATAAGGCCGCGAAAACAACAGCACAAGCACTTTTAACACCCAATTAAAAAAAACGTAAACTTGCTGAATAAACGGTTTCCTGATTTATTGCACATATCATTTAATCAGCCGAGGGGAAGAGGTTTTCAAATGATTGCTGCTGATTTGGGGACACACTTGTACTTTGGAACCAGGCTCGAAAAGTAGCACTTGATGGTCTTGAATTGTGATGGCAATGTTAGTATACAATATACATGACTATAAAAATATGGCGAGAAATCAAATTGAGTAGGACTATCTCTGGGACTGTGGAGTGTGGATCGTGAAGATTCTTTATCCCACTCCAGTCGAGTAAACAAAATAACTTATAACTATATAATAAAAATGAAACTTATCAAGGCATCAGAGGCCCGTGCGTCAGCACTGTGGCTCTTATGAGTGGTTAGATTGCCCAATATCAAACTTCCAATATATTTTAACAAAAATTATGTTCAGGAATTAAGCTGGGAAACGTTTGATCCAAAAGACCCAATAAAGTACAAAATCTTCTATATCATGTCAGTGGCTGGTTGATTAATGTTCGTCACAGATATTTGATCCCCGCCAGTAGACGTATCCCCGCATTCCCGAAAAACTCCGTTTATATTTGCTGTGGATACCATGATACAAGGGAGAAATGCAACTTCAGTAGCTTCTGATAGCAGGATACGGAGTGACATCAGAATGCGACCTGTGCGTCAGTACTGCTGGTCGTATGGGAGATAAGATTACTCAATATCAAACTTCCAATACATTTTGGGAAGGAGAGTGTTCAGGAATTAGGCTGGGAAACGCTTTACCCAATAGACCCGATAGAAGAGTACAAACTTTCAACACTACATATATAGTAGTGTTGAAAGTTTTATATATATAAGTATAATTAATAATATAACAAATAATTAATATTTTCAACACTAGACAATAGTTAATATAACAAACAAATTGAGAATATGAGTAATGACATGACGTAGAAATGTCGATACGTGATTTATCTATTCACCTCATGTCAGTTAGAACATTTTCATCACTGAGTCTATTCAGAAAAAATCAGAAATTTTCTCGGAAGAATTATCAAATGAGACTCAATAAAACTACACGACTTAATCAGGTTTATCGATAACTGTACTACTTTACGAGATATATTCAAATGGTATGAAAGTCGGTGGTTTTTCGAAAAAAACACCATATTTTCGGAGTACCAAATTTTGGTCACCGTCATTATTTTTTCCCAAATTATTTTTCACGTATTTTCCTTAACTATGACATTATCGATTTACTAGATCAATATAGTAAGTTATAATTATTATTCATCAAACAAATGAACACTAGTATTCTATCATGAATTGCTTTAAAAATGATTTTGGACACGTTCCATTAAAAGTAAGCAAGCTCTGTCAACAAGACAAAACAAATAAAAACAGTGTGTTAACTGAGCTACACTAACCAGACTGGTGCTCTTCTTTTTTCGATCCCACGTGCCCATGAAGTCCCCCCAAGGTGACTCCAACGACCTCCGAGTAGGGATCATAATGTGACCTCTGTCGTTGGATATTACCTTTGTAGCTCCTCTCCTTGATACTGGACGCTGCAGGAGGATTTCTTGTTTGTATGTCAGTTTCACGTTAGGTTTACATAAGGAAGATCTTACTTTTCATAAATTACGAAACGCTGTCACCTCAAAATTCATATTGCACAAATATCAGTGATTTAACAAATATCAGTGATTTAACAAATATCAGTTATTTAACGGTCATTTAAAATTTAGAAAATCATGTCCTACCTCTCTAAAGTTGTCAGATATTTGGTAATTTTGCAGTCTATTACTGCTGTATGCATCTTCGTACTGGAATAGTGTTAGGTATTACATACAAATAAAGAGGACTGGTATTTTGGTAAAAAGGTTACATTTTTATTTGACAAAATTTTTCTCCATCGAGCAAGTTTGATTATTGTCCTAATCGCACTGCAAGGGAGTGATATTGTTGTTATTTACACCTGCAAAACACCACACCAGAAAGGAAAAAGGGCGATTAGTGAAAATAACAGTTCTTACTAAAAAAACTGCATTTCTATCATAAATAACACAAAGCTGTTTATCACACAACACTTACAATTAATTAATTGGTAAATTAAACAACACTTGCAGACCAAAACATTACCTGATTAGCACTGAAATGAAACGCCATCCCTAACAATTTCCCTAAGATAATATGATTAATTAATGTTATTTACTTAATTTCTTAATCAAAATCAGAAAATAAATTTTGTATTATACAATTGGTAACTATTTTGATCAGTTTATAATCATTACATAATATAATTAAATAAAATATATTTACTTTACTTTAGGTAAATGTGGTAGAGTTTTAGCTAAGGACTGCTTGAATCTATTAACTCATGTTTGAAAGTAAGTCAAAGTAGGTCAAGTTAGGTCAAGAATCCGAATTATCTCTATTGGGATAATTTAGAAGAGATTGTTGTAGCCAGAATTTTGAGATAGATATAAAATTTTTTGAGATAGATATAAAATTATATTGTTATTGTAATTCATCTAAATAATATCCAACTAAATTTTGGCGCTAGATGATAACATCAGACACTATACTATTATAAATATACTTTAATGGAGTGCTAGCAGCTAGCTGGTATATAATAGATGAGCTGGTAAAGTCGACCTGACCACACTGTCACTCTCATTGGCACAGTTGGTGAAAGGACCCAGGCGCAGTTAAGCTTTTATAAGCCCTGGTTGACTGCTCAGAGTGGCGACGGGTTCATCATTATTGATCAAAGTATATTCAAAAATCTGATAATATTGCTACACTCAAGTTAAATGGTCTCAGGCCGAGACCAACATTGAAAACATTGTTATCGAAAGCTGCAAGCTTATTATTGTGTGATTCCACTTTGACCCATTATTATGCAGTCACCTTCAGGCGGTGTCGATGGTCATGTGAAAATCTTTATTGACAGGCTGTGCCCTTACCATATAAGTATTAAGTAAATCGAACCATTGCCTGATGTCAATCTGAGTGCTACATTAGTGAGACGTGCATGCACACGCATATTTGTGTCCAATAGTACAGGGTGGCCCATAAGTGACTACCCACACGCAACCTCTTAATAACTCACGTAATTAGTCTCCAAATTGCACCAAAATTTCAGAGATTATAGATATGGGTCAAACTTAGATTTCCTGAAAGTTTCGTAAGCCACGCCCAATTACAGTGGGCGTGGCGTGACACTCCCTCTTTTTCACTATTGTCTTCATAAAATGAGAACGCTTTAAGCTAAGAACTCCAAATTTTTTGCACACATTTGGCTTGATAATTTAAAACCTTTCCCAAAGTTCCAAGTTCATTGTTCAAAATTTGGCTGAGTTATGACCATTTCAAAATTCATCGGATACGTGATCCGAGCACTCAGTCAGTGATCTCTGCACTCAATCAGTGATCTCGTCACCCAATCTGATCAAGAGTAAGGTGTTAGCGTGTATTAATGAGGTTTGCATTAGGCTTTACCAACCATACTGAGGAGATAACGACCTGATCATGATTGATTGGATACCGATAATGACTTTGCTAGACAGGAAAACACCAAATTCCTCGTAAAAGTAAGGTCCTAGGATTCCACGAGAACTGATGGGGCACCAGATCGTGACTTTTTCAGGAAAATCAGGAATCACGGTCTAAAAGTTGGTGTTTCTTTGTGATCCGATAGGCCCGGTTAGAAAGATCTCGCTTTAGGATTCGTTGAAGGGATGTTCTGCTGAGGTCTAAGGCAGGAGCTCGTTTTCGGGTGCCAATTTTAGGTGTATCCATCACGTCACAAACAACTATGGTGATGTTTTCTTGTATTTTATGAGTTATTTAGTTACATAAATTAAACTTTCGCGTTATGTAAAAATATATTTTATCTTTAGTTGATGTGAACGGTACACCCGTGTGTAACCTACTTAAATGGTTTTTGTGTTTGTGAGGTGGAGCGAGTGTAGAGTGTAATGATTGGCTGAACCTGTTTCTTTCACATGGTGTTCATATGTTGTGATCGACAGGTGTAAAGTGTAAAATCCTATAAATGGTGAGCCTTTTAGACTACATAGATATTATAGTGGCACAACAACTTAAAGTGCACAGGTGTGCCACGAAAACACTTCAGGTCACTACAAAACCTGAAAAATCAATCCACAATTACGAACATATGTAATTTCATTATGCATAAATTATAATGACTTGCAAAATGCAGCGATTTCATTGAACGAGAGCAACTGTATCATGAGGTTAATTGCTTTTGGCAACGTTTGACCACGACAGATCACAAATGGCTACAAATGACAGCGTTTGATCGAAAACCTGGTTTCAGCCCCCCCCCCCCCTGTGTGGACAAAAGGAGCTTTAAAATGCGACAATAACACTGAAAGAATGCTCGTATAGGGTATTGTAGTGAAAGTATAGTATTTTGTATTTGCTTCAGCGCTCGATTTTAAGTTTTGTATTGGAATTTTGAGTTAGGCCGTTTTAATACTTTCAACACTACTATATAACAAATAATTTGAGGATGTGCAATGATATGGATGTACCAATGAGTCACTAAAACGTTACGGCATCGGGGGCACCATGGAGGATCGGAGGGCGCTAAATCAGAAGACTTGCTTCCGGCCCTGTTAAGGAGTTGAGTACCCGCCACACCTGTTGTCTCTGTAACTACACCAACCACACCATATTTACATACTGACCACATCATCTCCTTGGGACTCATTGGTACATCTGATGTTGTTGCTTTCCCTCAGATTATTGTTAGTACTAGTGTTGAGTCTTAACAACATTGGGCATTATATATACAATATACATTTAAAACATTTATTTTACAAATTATAGTCTTACAAATTTGAACCATAATAACCTTTTTATTCAATTGTATTTTTTGATCAATTTATACCTAAATTAATGTCAATTATGACAATTGATTACATTCCAATTTTTAACACATCCCATCAGGCACTCAAACAATCATCTTTACCAATCACTACTTCACAACTGTCCTGTTGTGTTCGTCCGTAAATTAACTAGCCCTGTGATTGTATTACTCAAATAACAACTATTGTTCTTCCCTTACAATTCTGATTCAACTTTTTCTCAACAGAGATCTCTTGTGTGGCGATTCTGCTCTTCTTATTTTCAGGTCGGTTGCGGGTCGGACGTGACAGTGCCCTCTGGTCAGCCTGGTGCCCCTATCGCCTTTCTACGCCATGCCCAACAAAGCTATCAACAAACAACGAACAAGCCTCGGAGGAATTCCATCTAAAGTACAGGACAAGAAGAAGGAGAAGAAGAACACCAAGAAGCCCTCCCCAGCAAATCCTAAGAACTGTCCATGTGGCCAGCACGACCAAGACTCCTGGGTTCTTTCTTGTACTAATTGCACCCAAGAATGGCACAGCAACTGTTCCAACCTAAAGGGTATTACAAATACTTTTGTTAAACAGCTTATCGACTGGATGTGTCCCTTTTGCTTCAGTCCACCGGGTGTTGAAGCCCGCAACAACACACAAACGGACAGTCTGATTCTGAGAATATCCAACTTGTCAGATGACAATGCTTTGCTTACGAAGCAGATAACCTCTCTCGAGGATAGACTAACTTCTCTGATTGCAGACACCGACAGGATTAGTAGCAGCTACAATCAGATTGCTGAGAGAGTGGTGGCCTTATCAGAAATAAGCACAGGTCTCACGCACTTAAATCTGCAACAAGATAAGACCAATTCAACGCTGAAGGCCTTATCAGTAAAACTCGAGAGCATATCAACCACGGCCACCCCACAACCAGAACATGTTGCCACGCCTCCTCCCCGTCCAGAGCATCTAGTGTTTGAGCCCCCTGCAGTCCCATCCGGTATGGTCCCGGCAACAATGATCAACGATTTTATTAATGAACAGGCTGCACAGACCATCGTTGACTTCCTAACAGCCACTGAATTTAATGATGAGAATGGTCACTCAGTGAAATCGTTTGGCCATCCATATTCTTATGTAGGGTCAAAAGCGACCACCAGTCCGCCCACCATTCCTGAAGCCTTGCAACCCTTAGTGGAGTCGATCAATAAGATGCAGGCTGATGAGTTCTACAAGATCTATCCCGAGCTGAAGAAGAAAGGAGCAGCACCAGTTATCAACTCCTGCTTGGTCAATCGATACGTTGGTCAGGAGAGCTTTCTTCCAGAACACTCAGATAATGAGATCACTATCCACCCCGAATCGTCAATTTTTACGATCACAGTGGGTGAATCTTGTGAGATCTTGTTTGCTGAGAAAAGCTCTAAGACTGACAGTCTCAAGTTAGACTGCAGCCACAGATCAATGTACCGAATGACTCGGCGGTCACAGGACTTCTTCTCTCATCGTATAGAGAAGGGTTCTGTGAAAAAAGGAGTTCGATACAGCCTGACCTTTCGATCAGTCAGTTGGAAGAATCGAAACTCCACATGTATCGTTGGCGACTCTAATACTGGCCACCTAGCCTTTGGAACTGGTAAACTGAACTCGTTTGGTGAGCTGATGCCGGGTCAACGGTTCTGGGCCGCTACAATGGAAGACATCAAGCCTGAGTGGTGCTGTGGCTACAACAACATCGTAGTATCTTGTGGTATCAACAATCTGAAAAAGAATGATGTGAGAAGTCAGGAGGACATTGATCGACTGTTCCTGCAGTATAAGTTGAAAATTAACGAAATTAGACAGTTCAATAGTAGTACTAATATTTTCATTGTTCCTATACTGCCTACTAAGTCTAACGAGCTTAATAAGAAAGCTTTGTATTTTAACTCACGTATATTCCGTGATTTGGATCAGCCTGGTTTGGGTGTATCACATGTCCGCGGTCTCGATGACTTCTTAGATCGCAACATGTTGCTGTCTGAGAGGCTGTCGAAGAAACTTGATAACCGCGGTAGACTTGATTTGTTGCACTTAAATGAGGTTGGTGTTAAACGATTTGCAGCTATTATTAAGAAAGCTATATTCAACAGGTTAAATAGAGGAGCTGAAAAGAGAAGGAGGACCCGAACCCCTAGCAGAACACAGAACGTGCTAACATCATCGCAAGTTGCAAGCTTACCTAGTCCTGATGGTCGTCAGGAATGATCAACAAAATTTTGAGAGAAAACTGTAACCATTGTCTGAAAAACGTTTACATAGGTCAGCCGATGTTTGAGTGCAGTAGATGTAATTGTATTGCCCACTCAAAGTGTTTTTCGCAATCAAAAGCACAAATTATTAATGACAACTTCTACTGCTTTTCGTGCAAAGATAAAATAGTACACAAGTATAATCCCTTCAAACACTTTGTAGATGACACAACCTCACCAGATGCACATGACGAAACATATAAAATATCCTCAATCTTAGACAAATGCCAAGCTTATTCTGCTAATAAAATCAACTCATCGCATGGAGAAAATCTTTAAAAGTTTTCCAGCTCCTACTTTCTTAACATTGATGGCAATAAAAGCAATTTTGATAGTCTATTAACTGAACTGCACCGCATTAACCAAAACTTCACCGTAATAGGTTTATCAGAAACTAACATAGGTCCTGATGAAAGCACCGTGTATTCAATTCCTAACTACAATAGTTTTTACCAGAATACTGTAGGTAATAAATCCAAAGGAACTGGTGTAGCATTATATGTTCAAGATAGACTTAGCAGTATTGTGAACGAACTTGCGTCAGACGTTACCGAGAATTTAGAATCACTCTTCGTAACTAGTCGTAAAAACTCAGAAGAAGTAACTTTTGGGGTTATTTACCGACCACCCAGCGGTAATTTTGCAAGCTTCCTGACAGAACTATCTAGAATACTCCAGATATTGCCTAAAAAATCTGCGTATATAATGGGAGATTTTAACGTCAACCTCCATGTTAATAGTAAAGAAGTTAGCAATCTCGAGGAGATAATGTTTAGTGCCGGTTTCTCGCCTCTTATATCAACACACACGCACGAGAAGCCGGGATGTAATCAAACGTGTATTGACAACATTTACACAAATGATATAAACAAGGTTGTTGCCTCAGGTACAGTATCTGACAGAATCTCGCATCATCTGCCAGTTTTTCATATTTTTGAAGACCTAGCTGTAACTAACTCTGAACCTCAAGTTAAACATACCCAATATTATGATTACAGTGAATCCAACGTTCGAGTCCTTGTTTCATCCTTAAACCAACATTTCTCTGAGCACCCACCAAAAAACTTTATTGAATTTCACGACACATTCAAAACGAATCTAGACAAATCATGTAAACTCAGTAAACCTAAAGTCTCCAAAAGAACGCCAATGACAAATCCGTGGATAACAGGAGGATTAATCGCGTCTATAAATAAAAAACATGAGCTGCACGACCACTGGCATAAAGCGAAGAGAGAAAAATGTTTGCATAATCCAGGTAAACTTTGTCGTGAGATCAAGGAAGCCTGTCACTGCAATCCTTGTAATGATGCCAGGGAAAAGCATGCTAATTTTACTGACAAACGTAGGAGAGTTAAACACGTAATAAGGCTAGCTCAACGCCTCTACACGTGCAACAAAATTGAGGAGTGTCAGGGTGACAGTAAAAAAACCTGGCAGTTAATTAATAAAGTGCGAGGAAAGCAAAATAAGCAAATGAAACCGTCATTCATGATAAACAATGAGCGTGTTATTTGTCAACGAGTTATTGCTCATGAATTTAACAAGTACTTTGTGTCAATCGCCTCCAATCTGAACGAGGTCTATGAGAGGAGGATTGATGAAGATCCTATAATTGCTAAATCATTCACTGACTACTTGCCACAGTCCTGTCCGTCAAGTATTTATCTTAAGATTGACTTCTCGTCCCCAATTGCACTTGTTAAAGGTCGCATTAAAACTATGCTACTCAATGCTCAAAAAGCTGGAAACACTGATGAATGGTCAGAACTCAACTTTGATGGAAATGACATGTGCATATAATTAAGAACACACAAACTAGTCCATATAGATTTCATACTACACACACAAAATAACACACACAATACACACCACAGTCAAACATAGAAACTATATATTCACACATATAACACAAAACACTGATCAGCTCATCCGCTTTACACTAGTGTCTGGACTTGTCTGGAGTGTTCGTCTGGAACGTGGGACGGACTCACAAATATATTGTGTAAACGTAGCGCGCGAAACTTAAATATTGTATAACTCTATCATTTCATTACCCAGCGTGATTTACCGCGCCAGAATAATGAAATGAAGCCGCGCTATATCCGTGAACCTAGCTACAGTGACTTATATTTTATATTTTGTATCTCTTACTACGTAACGCGAAATTAAGTTGTATCACACTCCCGGTTTTGGACCCCAATGTTAACCTTGCAGCAACTGTGTCAGCCCAATATACTCTAGAAGTATGATCACACTTATTTTAATGAACAAAAGACCCATAATTAATATAATCAGATACTCGTCAACAGCAGCAGTTTCCTTACGTGTGATGTGTTGTCCTTCTCCTTTCTGTGTCCCCGTCGTTTTGTTTTGTGAAATGTATTGTAGTAGTGTTTTAATATTTAAATCGAACGCAACTCAATAGTCAATAGTTAATAATAACAAACACAAATACTATTTTAAATAATTGATTAATATCGATTTATATACGAACCAAACATTAATTAATCTTTAATAACCTTTTATATATGTGTTAAACGATCCAGGGCATATCTAAAATTCGATAATGAACTTCATATATTATTAGTGCCGCGTGCTGATAAATATTCTGGGAATCAATCCACCCAATCGTGGCGATAACATATTTTTGTGCTTGGCCGGTTTTAGGTTTGAGTTTGTGCCCCAAAAGTGGTAAATCGGGTGCTAGTAAAGCTCTTGCAGGCAACTGGCTCCTTTTGCCAACTGCTTTTGGTTTAAGCGCTGACTCACATTTGGAACTGGCACTGGTATAATTGTAATATCCTACGAAGTCAGCATGCTATATTATTTTGCAAAACTCGTTTAATATCTTGACAATATTTAAAGTTTATGGTTTTAGGTTTAGACGCGGCGCACGCACCGCTTATATGTTATAGCTCATTCAGCTTCTGTTTTCAGCGCTGTGTTGCTACACACTGTATAGCATGTGGGTCAAGCGCGGTGCCGCGCCTAAACAGCAAAAGAGTTATTTATTTTAAAATTTATTTTTGTATCTCAAAAATGATGTAAAGTTTTTAATATGACGAAGAATTAAAGCTATTTCCGTACAGCCTAAGTGCTAAGCATGCTCGTTAGAAAAACTATGAACAATGAACATAACATGCTAGCTTTTTTTATTTTGTAAGTCGCGTCGGCTGACATCTTGGGTTGTACTGGATGTAACAAGTTTATTATCGGATGTCTACTTATATTTATTATGATATTATTATTATATTCATTGTAATGGCAATAAAATTTAAATTTTGTTTTACTTAAATTTTGTTTTACTTACTGAATGTACAAGCTCTGAAATAATACAAATTATAAGTGAATTTAATAACGGTAAAGCTAGCGACATACCGGCACATGTAATGAAGCAGTGTAGTCAAACTATATCAGAACATCTTGCCAGAATTTATAACAACTGCATGAATGAAGGTGTCTTCCCTGATCAACTGAAAACGGGTAAGATAACCCCGATATATATAAAAAAGAAGATGAGGAATTACTAGAGAATTACAGGCCAGTATCAACATTACCAGTATTTGGTAAAATATTTGAAAAAATTATTTACAGTAGATTATACAACTTTTTCTTATCTCGAGGAATAAAATTCGAAAATCAGTTCGGCTTTAGAAAAAACCACTCGACAAGTCATGCTCTTAACTACTCCGTAAATCACGTCGAAGAAAAACGGAATAATAAAAACCACGTATTAGGAATATTTATCGATCTCTCTAAAGCATTTGATACCTTACCATTTGATATGCTACTTAAGAAACTTAGTAATTACGGAGTTAGAGGAAACGCACTAAAGCTGCTCTCCAGCTATCTAAATAATAGATACCAGTATGTTAGTGTACTTGGTGAAGAATCAGAGCCTCTCCCAGTTAAACTAGGCGTACCTCAAGGATCCGTTTTGGGCCCCTTGCTTTTTCTTATCTATATAAATGACATCTATAGATGTAGTACATTAGGAAAATTTGTACTATTTGCAGATGACACAAACATCTTTGTAGCTGCTGAAACTAACGAAAAAGCATACAAAATAGCGAATGAAATTCTCGACTCTGTGTGCCAATATATGCGCCATAACCTACTGCACATTAATGTTAAAAAATCTTGTTACATGTACTTCTCGCCTACTAAACGTAAGACCATTGATAATACTGAAAATGACTTGAATCTAGAAATTGATGGGATCCCGATCAAACAGGTTACTGAAACGAAATTTCTAGGTGTAATTATTGATGACAAACTGAGTTGGACACCTCATATCGAGAAACTAACTAAGAAATTAAACAGCATATGTGGCCGTATTTATCGAATAAAAAACTCCCTCCCCAGCCAGCTGTACAAACAGATATACCACACTCTTTTTGAATCTCATCTAGGATACGGTATAACTGTATGGGGTGGTGTATCAATTAATAAGCTTTCACCACTATTCCTTGCACAGAAGAAATGTGTCCGAATCTTATTTGGGGACTCGGAAGCATTTAGCGACAAGTTTAAAACTTGTTCTCGTAGCAGGCCAATCCAGTGCAGTATAAAAAGAAAGGTCAAATATCCAATGAATCAACTACAGTGGCGTAACGTTGCCTGTTGGCGCCCCCCTCCCCTTTTGGTGCCCCTCCCTAAAATTGAACAAATTAGGTGATTTTAAAGAATACGCCGGTAAAATCTCTAAAAAAGTGTGTATCTAGAGCAAAACGCGCAGTTTTGCTAGTACTTTAGTTAAGTTTTCGAAATTGTCCCACATTCAAACGACGATTTGGCGCCCCCCTAAGACGGCGCCCCCCTGCACAGCAGGGTCAGCAGGGCCTTTCGTTACGCCACTGATCAACTATACCTCACATTAAACCGTGTTCTATATGTATCAGCTTGAGGAAGACTGGTGATAAACAAGCAAGGCCACATCGCTGCCAAA